ATTAAGAAAATTTTGAGTTAGATTCAACAACTTGCAAAAAATCCCTATGCGATAAATAAAATGTAGGGAGATAAAAAAATTTAGTTTCAAAAACTAATTTAAAATATGAAAAAGATTTTAAATCAAAATTAGAATAACCTCTTTTAGAAAAAAGAGATTGAGAGTAAAAAACATGAGTTTCCTTCCTTTGATTGTTTTAGAGAAGTCAAACACAAACTTACCAAAGATTTCAAGAAAAATAGAAGTATATTTTTCATTTTTAGAAAAGTGAATGTATGTGTTGATCAGAGAAAAACTTTCACGAAAATTAAAATTTCAAAGAATAAACAAAACAAAAATACAAAATAAAATGAAAAACATAAAAACAAAAACACAACACAAAAACACGAAAGGCTTTTAACCATTATCTCTCTCCTGGTTCGATGCTTAGAAACCAAATCTGCCCATGAGATTTTTGCCTTTCATTATTTCCCCAGTTGAAATTTTGCTTCGCCTTGCCCTTTTCTTTTGTAGGAAGAATTTTTAAATTATGGCACTAATTTTTCATATGTCCAGGCTTCCTACAACGAAAGCAAATAACGTTAGAAGGAATATGAACATCCTTTCTATTTTTACCTTTTTTTCCAGTTTTGCTAATGCTTTGATGAGCTTTGTGATTTGCTTGACAAGTCATTGCATTCGTCACTAACTAAGCAATCTCTTTCTGTATATTCAGCTTTAAGAACAATCGTTTCACCTGCATCCAAAAGTCCTTGAACCAAATTTTGCTCGTAGGCAATGAGTGAGCCAATCAAATTATCAATAGAAAATTATTTAATAACAGTCAAGATAAATCCTACTAAATCCTATGTGACTATAGAGCAGATTTAATGAGTAGACTATTCCTCTAGAACTAATTGATTTCGTAAATCTGGCAAAAAATAGGTTTTCAAAAATCTGGGATTTAGCACGAAAAGGCAAAATTTTCCATTTATAGCAGCTTTCATTTGCCGTGAGATTTCATTTTACATTTTAGGCAGTTTAGCTGGATTTCGCTCAAATCCAGTCGATATCCTGCTACCAAATAACCCCTTCATTTTCATTCAACGAGTAACTTTCCACACAATCAACCAAGATAACACATAAAAAAAATTCAAGGACAACGGGTCACATACAGGCTCCCCATAGCAATCCCTCCATTTTAACACTCCTTACAACTTCTTCAAGCTTTTGCATGTTTGTCTCATTATCCCAGGGTTTAATGTCTAATAAAACTGAAGACTTTCCACCTATTGAAAATATGTTGTAGGTAAAATAATAATGAGCACAAAATAATAAAAATGTGTGAAAGCATGATATGTCATAACAAGTTAAAAGCCTTACTCTCTTTCTTCTTTCCGGATGCTTTCACAGCAATTGCATGCTCCTCGGCAGCCTTCTTTTCCTCCTCTATCTCCTCGCCAAATAGATCAACATCATCATCATCATCCTCTTCAACTGGGGCCTAAATCTCAAATTCCAATTAGAAAAAATTGCAGCATGTGCGAATAGAAGATTTCTAGAATTGTGAAAAACTTGAATAGCCAAATGCAATCAGAAAACTATAATACTGTCAGCAGCTGAAGCAACATGCAAATAACAGATCCTTTCAAAAAATATACCATCTTATAGCCAACAAAAGATGATACTGATAGGTAGTACTTGAGTTTGCAAGTAACTAAGGTAATACTTGAGTTCGTAAGCAAACCTAGCAAGATTTGGTGAAAGAAGTGAAGATAATTGCTGTTTAAAGCAGTCAAACAGTAAATTACAGTAGTTTTCTTAGGAAAACAGAGAAAACTGAGAGAAACAATGGGGGAATCCACTAATAGATGCAATAAAACAACAAATGATACAAGTTTCTTCAATTCGAAAGGAAGAAACAAATCTCTAGCCAAGCCTAGAACCCAAGAACACAAATCCTAGACCTCAAATTCCTTCAAAATCAAGATGAAACCCTAATTCTATCATTAGCCCCTAATTAAAGCAAAAGGAGACATATAAAATCCCTAAACATACCTCTAATTCAAATTTCCCTCCTAAACACCCATTACATTAATTGCTTGGGCCCACTAGGCCATCCACCCCCTCTCCCTTTGTTCCACCCTCCCCCAGGCCGTCGGCAGTAAACCTGAACTGGTCCAGGTTGGACCTGTTCAGCCAGCCTAACCGATACTTGCAAAAAATGAACAATAGATGGCATAACATAAATTATCTCTTTAAATGTTTCAAATAAGATATACCTTACAAGAATGCTTTTATAACTGTTATGCTAAAAATAATTAACGGTACATCATTGTATTTCATATAGTTTGGCAAAATTTTGCAAAACCAGGATGACATGGAGGTTTTATCTTGGTGTCAGCAATAGGTTGAGAAGCTGGAACTTCCTCGGATATGGTAGTAGACCCATCTACTTTCACGCCTTGTCCCTCACCAGATACACCACTATAATGCACGGTAAAAGCAAAAGTTTCATATCAAGTTGGTAATGAAAAAATCTTGAAAGATAAATTATGTTGAAGAATATACCTCATCCTCAACAGTGCCTCAATGTGGTTATACCACCTAGACACATTGACATAGTCTGCCGATGGTGGAGCAGAGAATTCAGCATGCACAGTAATGTCATCCTTTGAAGCTTGGTAGCTGATTGAAGTTTTTACTCGACTGTCAGTAGGTTCAAAGGAAATAATAAAGGAAATGAATTAGATTAAGGTTTTGTTTGGGATAGCTTTTTTATTGATTCTTAAAATAGCTTTCTAGTTGCTGGTTGAAGTTTTATGACGCCATACGCATGTTTGGCGTTCAGTTGGAGATGCTCCATGGGAGTAGAGTAGTTTTTTCCGCAAATGGAGACCATTCATTAGCTCTCTGAGCATAAGCCTACACTCTTACATGAACCAGGGTGCTTTTGAGAGTTTTATGTCGCTCAACAGGTTGTTTATTCTTAAGAACCATAAGCTCTAACTCCATCAGCAATAGTTCTTCTTTTAGTACTTTGACCAGCTGAGTTATGGATACGCAGATTCTATGACATGATTAATTTTAATCTGATATAGATCCTAATGACTGTCTGGCTCCAAGTGTTCAAATTCCCTATTAGGAACTGTAAGTTTTGATTTTCAGCAACAATAGCAAGATCGCATCATCATTTTTTTACTTTTTCTTATGATAGATTTCTTTGATATTAGCAAGAAGAGCTGCAAAGAAGAGACCACCACTAATAACTCAAAAAAAAAAAAAACAATATTAGATCTTAGCAAGCAAATTCTTCCTACAAGGCAAAAAAGTTACAGCCAGATACCTCAAGGACTCTAGCTCATCAAATCTTATTGAGTAAAATTGAAACTAAGTCATTTGTAATAGTAATATGCATAAATTTCAGACCAGACCTTATTAAAGTTAGCACGGTAACTAGTCCATTCCTCTTGTTTCTATTCCAGACGGTCCAATGAGGGGCAAAGCAACACTAGCATTTTTTTTAAAGCATCGACTACGTCGAAGCCATTATCACCATATACCCGTTTAATGCAGTTCAAATTTCAACCTTTCAAAAAGAAAAGATTTCTTATAAGGAAAAATAATTAAGATGAAAATATAATTAAGCACATATGTAAAATGATTATAATTAACAAAAAATAGGTTAAGTAATCCTCAATGCGAAATGGGGATTCTAATTTATTGATATCATCCTGCATCTTCTATACCAAATTCTGAACTTTCTCAACAGTTGAATTTGCCAACTCTACTAGCATATCCAGCTCATATCTGAACACCACAAGCACAAGCATAGAATTTAAAAATCACATAAAAGAACTGTAGATTTGCCTCTTGAATAAAATAAACACCCAATATTCATAAGAGTATTAAATATCATTTGGCATCATAATAGTAAATAGAAGAAGGAAATAGTGATTGTAATAAAAACATTTATCTCAAATATCATGAAATGTCAAAAGCAATTTCATTAAACAAAATGTGGCACCAGCAAAATTATAATTAAAAAATAAATAAAAAATACTTAAAAAATATTAAGGGAAAAAATTTGTCACATATCATCTTCACATTTAAATAAGCTTTCCTCGTATTGACTTTTCCTCAATGGATTAGAAGAATAATCTTCAGTTCCAGATGTCACTGAAACCCAAATATCATTTAGAACGGATTTGACAAGTTCAGTTCTATCGCTAGAGACAAGTGCACGGCATTGCCAGTCAAAAACAATTTAAATAATCCCGTGTGACTGTTTGGCTGTAGTGCGGATTTAACAAGCAGACTCTTCCTCTCGAGCCAATGGATTTCGTAAATCCAGCAAAAATAGGATTTCAAAAATCTGGGATTTAGCACGAAAAGGCAGAATTTTCCATCTACAGTGGCTTTCTTTTACCGTGAGATTTAGTTTTGCATTTTAGGCCGTTTGGCTGGATTTCACTCAAATCAAGCCTAATTCCTGCTACCAAACAGCCCCTTCATTTCCATTAAAAGAGTAACTTTTTACACAATCAACCAAGATAACACATAAAATAAATACAAGGACAATTGATCACATACAGGCTACCCATAGCAAGCCCTCCATTTTAACACTCCTTACTGCTGCTTCAAGCTTATGCATGTCTGTCTCATCATCCCAGGGCTTAACGTCCAATAAAACTGAAGACTTTCCACCTGTTGAAAATATGTTACAGGTAAAATAATAATGAGTACAAACTAATAAAAATGTGTGAAAACATTGATATGACATAACAAGTTAAAAGCCTTACTCTCTTTCTTCTTTCCGAATGCTTTCACGGTAGTTACGCGATCCTCGTCGGTCTTGTTTTCCTCCTATGTCTCCTCGCCGAATAGATAAACATCATCATCGTCATCCTCATCAACTGGGGACTAAATCTCAAGTTCCAATTAGAAAAAATTACAGCATGGCTGACTAGAAGATATCTAGGATTATGGAAAATTTAAATAGCCAAATGCAATCAGAAAACTAAAATACTTTCAGCAGCTAAAGCAACATGCATATAACATATTCTTTCAAAAAAAGATAGAATTTACTGCTTTCAAGCACAATTATGCTAATTTATCTTATAGTTAATAAAAGAGGACATTGTTAGGAAATACTTGAGTTTGCAAGTAACCCTAAGGGAAATACTTGAGTTCGCAAGAAAACCTAACCACAATTGGTGCAAATAATGAGTAAAATTGCTGTTTGCAGCAGAAATCAACAAAATACAGCTGATTTCATGGGAAAAATTGATATAAAATGAATTATCCCACTAGTTATTGTAGGAAAACAATAAAAGATACAAGTTTCTTGAATTCGAGATGAAGAAACAGTTGTACAAAGTATAAATCTCAAGCCAAGCCTAGAGACGAAAAGAAAACCCTAGATCCCAAATCTGATTTCAAATTCAAGATAATCCCAAAACCTAACAAGAAAGACTAATTAAAGCAAAAGGAAAATTTATTAATCCCTAAACATCACCATGATGCCCCCCCCCAAGAGTCCGCGGTCGCGGTTTAATCTATCTTATTTTCTTTTCTTCTCTTCCCCGCCCCAACCGTAGGGTCCTACTTCTCCTGCCACCACCGCCCATCCTCTCCCACCGAAATCCTCCCTAGCTCCACCACCTCAAGCTCCCATCGACAGCCCAAGCCTTTCCCCCTTCCCCTTCCCCTCACCCGACGCCATCTCCCCCTTCCCCATTACTGCCGGCCTTCCCCTTTGCTCCACCTCAATTATGATGATTTCAATCATCATAATTCCCTTCCAAAATTAACTCCAAGGAGAAAAGGAAACAAATTAATCTTATTTGAAATTTAAATTTCAAATACTTTCCTTATTTGCATATCCTAATTAGGAAAATGCATAAAATCAAGCCTATTTGAAATTCAAAATAGATTGGATTTCTTAATTCCTTTCCTAATTCCCATGAGTTTTTTTTAAAACTCTTAAATCCCTCCCCACAAACATCCTCCTCTTAATGCCGCTGGCCCCCTTATTGGGCTTCTCTCTTATGTTTTCCTCTTTTAGCCCTCACCTCATTTGAATTTGAAATCAAATTTCAAATTAATTCCCTCCAAATCCACTTAAATCTGAATTAATTTTTGATTTTCTAAAACTTTCTCTCCCACCCTCTATCCTAACATAATTCCTTCTCAACCAACCCCCCCTACTCTTCCCCTTGGCTGCCCCTCTCCGCTTACATCCTCTCCCTTGGAAAACCTAAAACTCTCATGTTGTTTGAAGCTAAGAGAAGAAGACAAGTTCTTTCCTCCTTTCTACCATTGGTGTATGGCCGACCCTGAGGTCGACCACGGATTTGTCTTCGACGAGTAAGGATGAACGGATATTCTTGGATCCCTATTCTTTGACGTGTACTTTGATAATGATGAGACTGTCAACGGATACATCGACTGCATCTTATACCAACTAACATTATCGATTGAAGAGCACCTTCAACCAGGTCATTGGATAATCATCGGTCACCCACCGCCTCCTCCACCGCCAGCTACTTCTCCATCAACGACTGTCTTTGGCGTCGTCTTCCTAGTGGTAATATCCTTCCTCGTATGGTTCATCTTTCTCATCTAAAGCCTAAGAGTGATTGAGTGAGAAGGCACTCAAGGTGAACCTCTCGTTATTAAGTGGTGGATTATGTTATGTCCACGTATCATTTACTATAGTCTTTGAATTTTAATTGGATAGTTTGGTTAATCTAAAAAGTGTTTCTTTGCCTAAGCAAGTTGAATACTTGGAATTTCTAACATCTCTTTATTTGCAAGCAATAATTTTATTAGCAAGTTTTAATCAATTGTCTCGTTTTTAATTTCTCAAGTAACTCCTAGTAGTTTCACATCAAATATACCTTACAAGAATGCTTTTACAACTGTTTTGCTAAATTTAGTTAACGGTATATCATTGGATTTCATATAGTTTGGTGGAATTATGCAAAACCAGGATGACATGGAGGTTTTATCACCTTAGTTTCAGCAATAGTTGGAGAAGCTGGAGCTTCCTCAGATATTGTAGTAGACCCTTCTACTTTCACGCCTTGTCCCTCACCAGATACACCTCTATAATGCAAAGTGAAAGCAAAAGTTTAATAGCAAGTTGGTAATGAAAAGGCAGGAAAGACAAATTATGTTGAAGAATATACCTCATCCTCAACAATGCCTCAATGTGGTTATACCACCTAGACACATTGACATAGTCTGTCGATGGTGGAGCAGAGAATTCAGCATGCACAGCAATGTCATCCTTTGAAGCTTGGTAGCTGATTGAAGTTTTTACTCGATTGTTAGTAGGTTCAAAGGAAATAATAGAGGAAATGAAGAAATTAGATTAAGGCTTTGTTTGGGAGAGCTTTGTATTTCTTCTTAAAATAGATTTCTAGTTTAAAAATCAAAATATTATACTAGAAAGCTGCTTTAAGAAGCAGTAAGAAAGTAGTCCCAAACGAAGCCTATATGATGGTCGTCAAGAAAACAACCCTGTGATATAGCTCCTCGGAAGGAGATACTCATCAAGCTTTTTGAGTCCAGATGCCGAGTTAAGGTTGTGAAAAACCACATCCATGACAGCTAAAATTTCTTTTTCACCTGAAGCATATAGTGTAAACAAAATAAGTTTAAACCTTCCAAATACCAAAGTAATTATTTGATTATCTCCATTAGCAACTACAACAACAAAATCATTCTAGATAATGTGAGTACACTTAATAATAAATCAAGTGCTACATTAAAATATCTCAAAGAGACAATTAGCTAGGAGAGATTACGCTATTAAATTACAATAAAAAAAAACTTTTAATCTCCTAATCACAATAAAGTCGGAAAGCTAATAGCAAATGTGTGTTACAAGGTTACCCATATCAAGCTAACATGCCAAATCTAACCTGCCGGATCAACCTTGAAACATAATTAGTTAATGAAACAACAAAAAATGATAATCGGTTCATTTTTAATTAGCTGATAAAGAACGTCTTATAATTTGATTACTACATATAAAATAAAACAAAAAGGCATAATCCCACACTTCAATTTAAGTGATTAATGAAGAACAATATCACTGATTAAAAGCTAAATGTTATGTTATTATATTAAAGACTCACTGGTTATATAGAGAATGTGTAATAAAATAATTTATATTAATCATAAGATAGTGGGATATCAAATATTTATTGATAATCCGAACTTCATTTAGCTGCTATCAATCAAATATCAGTAAGAATTGCGTGTATAGAAATTAGTTAATTATTAGATAATTAAATAAGGACATTATCCTCATTCGTAACCACGCATTTGATATAGAACATTTACAAATAGCTAATATTTTAATAAAACATTAGTATCGATAGTGGTGTAAATGAGCCAAACTTGGGTGAGAACATAAGTTGTTCAGCTTTACTTGTTAAGCAAACAAGGTTGTGATGAGCCTTGAAAAGGCCAAAGGTTAAGTAAGAACTGAGATATGAAGTGTTTAAAGCAAAGATGTTACAAATTGATCACTCCAATAATAAATGAAGTGTCTAATTAATGCTCCTCACATTCTTCTAGCAAGGAGAATCACCTCATTTACCCCATGAAAATGGGAGAGGTCACAATCATGATATTCAAGTTACACTCCTCTTTAAGTATTGACATACATCATTAGCAATAAGTAAAATTTTTTGGATGCTTTAATGAGCAATAATTAAATTGGAATCATGCTAATCATTATTAGATGATATCCCTCACAACTAATAGGGTAGCTTAATTACTAATGAACCAAAACATTTAAATCTACATCAATGACTTGTTAATCAAAACCAAAAATCCAAAACATCCTCTACCTCTAAATACCATTCATCGCTCTCAGAAAATATAACATGCATCTCAATCCTATAAAAATACATATTGTTTAATGAAGTTTATAGGCTTCATGCATATTTCCAGAGGGCATCAAGATCAAACAAACATTAAAAAAAATCAATAATGGAAATTAAAAAAAATCAATAATGGAGATGTGTTTTTTTTTAAATGCAAGGCAATTGAAATTGTAATTTCTTTAGAAAAATTTTGATTTTTAGACTCTCAATTTTGAAGTCGAACACTTCATTATGAATGATATATCACTTCAGAAGGAAAAAAGTATCATTCTCTAATGGGTTTAGATAATAAAACCGTAAGCTTCATACTGATTATCATAATCAAATTCAAGAAGGAACTACACATGACCCCGAAGGGTCAAAATAAGATTCGATCGAGTATTTGGCTATGATAGTCTAGATGAAATATCACTAATTTCATATTCAAAGTCATTGTAATAAATGACAAATCTTCCCAAGGAAAGAAAATATCTTTTATTATCAATCATTTAAATATGACGATAATGATAGTCGTTGATTTTCTTGATTTATCAAAGAGAATTAATTAAATTTTAAATTGATCTAGGGTCTTAAATCTTTTATGAAGGCAAGGCTTCGTAGTTAATTCCATCGTATGAAGATTGAGTTTCTTACGAATACTCTAGATTAAAATAATGATAGAAATTTCATTTAAAATTTTTAAGGAGTAATACAAAAGAAATGAGGTTGTTGTTGACCTCATTTTTATCTTGATTTGCCCGCGAGCACGTTCGATCGAGTCTCATCGAGCTTGATTCAATTTGAATCAACGTCCATTTGATGTTGATTTTTGTTGAATTAGTGTAGTCGAGCCGCATCGAACCCGAGTCAGCCTGATTCAAGCCAAATCGATTTTAAACTCAAATTTGACCTGAATTAACCCAATTAGTTCTAGTTTAGTTTCAATATGCTTTTAATAAATTTTAACTAATTTCTAGATCATACCCTTAGATCCTACGGTCCCGATTTTCCTTGAAGCCTGACGTTTATGGTTACCAGCGGCTGCTGTCACGTGATCTACCTATTTTGGAGGATATGCACATGTATTTAAAAGGATCAGACATGCCCAGTCCCCTTCCCAGCTTCTCTTTACTTGAAATTGAGCCGAAGGACTCTGGACTCGAGGGAAGAAAAGATCTCGCCCCTGTTTTGATTTCCCTCATTCACATACTCTCCCTCTTCCCCCGACTCCTAACATTACCACTTATCTCCCTCTCAGTTTTCCTTGTTCCAAGAGTTCACTCTCCCCTCTCTCGGTCCTCTCTGGTTCGCAGAAGCCAGACGACAAACCCCAAAACCTCCCCGCCTCTCCTATCTCTTTCTCAAGTCAAGAGCCGACGTCCCCATCCTTCCGATATCTCTCTTTCGTAAGGAAAGAACTACCTCCCTCTCTCACTCTCGATTTTGCACTCCTGGACCAAACCTGAAGCCGTCGGAGGCCTCCTCCGTCACACGCTGCGGCATTTTTAAGCCTCCCTCCTTACCTCTCTCGGTTCTCCTCCCTTCCCTTCTCTTTGGTTCGCACAACACCGGAAGTCGCAACCTCCATCCTCCTTTGGTTCACTTAGTCCACGAGCCAAGAGCTGCCTCCGATCCCGCGATCTCTCTCTCTCTCTCTCTCATTTGGATCAGACCAGGCCCGTCGCCCTCCCCACCATCTCTCACTCTCGGCTTTGCACACCAAGGCTGAACCCGATGCCTGTACCAACCTCCATCTCCTATCCGACTCCTACTCCAAGCCCACGAATCGACCTCCCTCCAACAAGTATACTTCTCCTGCTTCTTCTCTTCCTCCTCACTTTCATCTTCTCTTCTCTTAATCACTCTCTTTATCTTATTCTTCCTTAGCATTGTTATTTCTTTTCTCATGATGACCAAATAACATTAAGCAATAGTTCCTTTGTCTCTTCTTTGAGTGAAAATTAAAATGGTGGCAGTGGATTTGTGTCCTTTAACTCATAAAGATTACCATGCCATGAGATTTTCCTTTTTAAGGCTTTCTTAGTTTGATGATGTTGAAATCCTTGTTATTAATTATAAAGGAAATGGAACTCTTTTCGTGGTTTCCTTTTGCTCATTTTATGATTAGTCTTATTCTTATGATGGATTTTTGGATTGTTAATTGAACTTGTGTCTTCACATTTTAATGAAATAATGAAGGTTTGAAGATTTCATACCTTCCCAATATTAGAAATTAATGCTTCTCATTCTAGAGTATTCATCATTCTAGAGTATTCCTCATTCTAGTGTATTCCCTTATCTTGACTATTCCACCATTAAGTATTAATGTAGAATCTTCTAGGATGCTTATCTTTTGAAGTAAATGCTTATTAAAAATAGATGTTTCTAGAATATATAGAGAAATCTAGAACTACTTGTAACCACTAGTATAAATAGGGATGATGTATTGTTGAAATGGTAAGAAAAAATATATTCTTCTACTTCCATCAATATCTCTTCATTTTCATTTCTCCAACAAATGGTATCAGAGCAGCTTCAATCTATGGGAATGATGACAGGCTCAATTTCTTCTCAATCGTATCCAATATTCACAGGCGAAAACTACAACTACTGGAGCGTGAAGATGATTATGTTGTTCCGATCACTGGATCTATGGGAGATAGTTGAAGATGGCGTTTCGATTGAGGTTCTCAGTACCTCTGATGGTGGACAAACAAAAAGATGCAAAGGCGCTCTTCATTCTTCAACAAGCTGTAAGTGACACTATCTTTCCAAGGATAATGCGGGCTTCTTCATCAAAAAAAACATGGGAGATCCTGCAGGAGGAGTTTCAAGGAAACTCCAAAATAAGAACAATAAAATTACAAGCCTTGCGAAGGGAGTTGGAAAATATTAAAATGAAAGAAACAGAAAATACAAAGGAGTACTGCTCTAGAATCATTACCGTGGTAAACCAGATGAGGGCATACGGCGAAGACATCTCATAAGAGAAGGTTGTACATAAGATCCTCATTAGCCTTACCGCGAAATACGATCATGTGGTGGCTGCGTTCAAAGAGTCCAATGACCTCTCCTCATTATCGGTGACAGAGTTGATGTGCTCATTATATGCTCATGAGCTTCGACTTGAGAGAAGGAAGGATACGACTCTTGAAATAGCATTCCAGTCAAAAGTCAACCTGAAGAAGCAAAAGATAAAGGATTCCAAGAAGAAGCCTAAAGAGATTACAAAGAGTGGAGACAACCCATAAAAGAAGGAAATTCCCACCATGTAAGATCTGCAAAAAGACAAATCACTTGGAAAAAAATTGCTTTCATAAAGGTAAGCCTCTATATTCTTATTGTAAGAAGTTTGGACATGAAGAGAAAGATTTTTGGCATAAAAATAAAAAAAATCAACAAGTTAACTTTATGGAAGAAAAGGAGGAGCAATCTTCTATGCCTGTCATGTTGCAATCGAGCAAAGGAAAGAATGGTTTCTTGATAGCAGGTGCAGCAATCATATGACTCCAGATGAGAGTTTATTTACTCAGATTGATAAATCTGTATGTGCCAAATTAAAACTTGGAAATGGAGAGTTGGTAGAAGCAAGTGGCAAAGGAACAATTGCCATCAAAACCAATGAAGGAAAAAGGCACATAAGAGATGTTCTTCTGGTTCCAAGCCTTGATCAAAGTCTTCTCAGTGTTGGGAAGATGATGCAGAATGGGTATTCCCTACATTTTGAAGATGATGTA